AATGAATGAGAGAGCAATGGTACAGGGATGAGAGAGTGCTGTATGATGTGAAAACAAAATTGTCTGAATAAAAAGCAGCAGCAGAAGGCAGCGACAAACAGGAAAGCCTTGTTTGAAAAGAACTGGAAGCAGACACTAAATACTTTAAATGCATTCATGTAGGAAATGGAATTAAGAATACCGATTTTAATCAGGCTTTTAAAGGGACAACTTCCTTTAACATTTGCATTTCAATTTCCCTGCTGCTCTTCCTCCTGCTCCATGACGCTGTGGATACTGAAAACAATGTTATAACAATGCAAATTAGTTCAGGGATCTATAAAGCTCTCTGATAGCCGGGGTATGAGGCGGGTGTAGCTCTCCGACCAGTTAAAGAGCTTGTTAAAGATGTGGTTACGCCAGAGGGGATAGAAGAGCAGATTTAATTTGGTGTCCTATGAAGAAACTGTCCAGAGCTTCTGTGTTGTCACCTCAAAGTTTCATGTCTGTCTGAATTAAAGTGGATGAGAAGCAGGATTGGCAGTGAACATTAGGATTGAACTCAGCAGGTTGTTGGTCATGGTGATTTGTAACGAAGACTGTTGAAGCCTACAGGAAACAGAACTACAACACAATAGAGGAGACACTTCTGGTTTGACTGGTTAAACAAACTGAATTAACATTTTCTATTTCTATGTTTCACCTTCAAATTTCCAATGTGTGAATTCCTGGTTTGTTTTCTGTTTTTTGAAGTGGCCCTTATACTGGGACAGAGACTGGACGCCATGTAATACCTGACAAGATAGGTTGTGTTGGCAGATGAAGGTAGATGGTGTTTGCTCTGGGACTTTTCCAGGAAAGAGACTCTGTGAACTGTATTTGTGCAAACCAGCCGCTCCAGCCTGCAAATATTAAACCTGCTGATCCAACAATTGCAAAACTTTAAAAGTCCAAGATGTCCAAACACAAGATCTCTCACTTTGACTGCCACCAGAGAGCACAGACTTGGTCTGTTAGGTATTAGAATAATGCCATTATGTCCACTTTATTTCAGCAGTTCAGTGTTTGTAATCTTTGTGAACATCTTTACAGTGCTGCCTCAATATGTGGAAGAAAAAGTGAGGATAACTGAAAAACCAGACTTGGATTAAAGGAACATCACTGATGTCAGTTGTTACTATTTTCAGCTGGGAACCAAAGCTTGGTCCCTCATTATAGAAATGGGAAATGAAACACATGGTGCGCTTGACATCATTTCTGGCTCAGCTACTTCTCCTCCAGCTGGCAGTAGCTGTAAATGTGGTCGGTGTGTGTGTATGCATGCATGTGTGTTGTGTGTGTACATGTTCACTTGAGGTATAGTGAGTCATATCCACAGTTTAGCCTCTCTGGACTTGTCAGAGGCATCTGAGAGCGATGAGTTGCTGGGATTTTTTCCGCTCACTCAGCTTCTACATTTCCTATCTTACTCTTCAGATCTAAAATGTTCTGATGTGTGGGCTGTCTGTCCGTGATCATGTCAAGTCTGACTCACCGGATGTAGACTGTGGCTATAAGCCTTTATGGTCGTGCCTTCCTCTTCTGCTATCTGTCTGTTACTGTGGATCCCCTTCACCAGGAGGCAACAAGATCCCCCCACCAACACACTGAAAATGGCGAGTTCTGATATTTAATATCAGAAAAATGATAATGCAATAACGCATCTAATATTTAGATTTACGTATGTCTTTTAATTGTGGCAATTTTCTTTATCAGGAAATAGACATTTCAATGACAACTGATCACCTCCCTACATGTAATAATTCAATACAATTGTAATTGGTTTAAGGAAATCCATAAAAGAGCACTTCCCTCTATATAAATACTGATGCTTGTCTGTAATTGTTGGAAAGAGGGATTTTATTATCCTCATCTAAACTGCACTGAACCACAACTAAAACATGTTTTGGGTACTTTGTTAGTAGTAGGACTTTGTTTGTACTTAATGAATTATATTGTATTCATGCCTTTTCATAATAACATCACCCTGAAATCATTTGTAATCTATCATGATGAATGATTGGTTAAGAGGTTTAATAATACAAACTCAACGTGGGCCGAAGAATCTTTCTATTGTAAAAATAAAATAAAATGTGTTTGCGCGTTGCCTAACTTGTTGCAACATTAGTATGTTTACGAGCAAATTCCAAACTCAATGACTATAGTCATGTTTGATTTAGAGGTAGGTCTGGTATTGCAAAACAAACAAACAAATCTAGTGATTTATGGACACATAAACGTGTCTCTGTGTTAAATGCTTAAGTACATCTGGTCAAATATTAAGAGAGCCGAGCTACTCTCTTGTGGCAGGAAACATGTTTTGAACAGTTTTCTGTTATGACATATAAACCTGCAGGTCTGATGTGTAGCAGGGGAAATGCTTTCCTTTTAATGGAAAGGGTGATTGTCCTGCCCACTGACGGGAAACCCCTCCCACACACACACACAAATTCCTCGAATTGGGGATTTTACTCCGAGCTGTTTGTTTTTGTCTTTGCTTCCTGTTTTTATGAGTGTGTGTTTTTTAGAATAAAATGCAGACAGGATATTGGTTACACAGCGTCATCTATTCCACTTCTCTCATATTTGTCCGACCAGACAAATGGACAAGATTCACACTTGTAAACAGTTGCGATCACCTCCATGTTTACATGTTTTTTATTTGTCCAATCTGCCAGGTTGTTTTACTGAGCGGTCACTTGGACAGTTGGGACGTGGGCCAGGGTGCTATGGATGACGGAGGTGGAGCCATGATTTCCTGGGAGGCCTTGTCACTCATCAAGGACTTAGGTGATGGACAGTAGAGACAGTCACTGTAGAGTCAAAGCACATATACTGTATAATACGTGTGGAGGATCCTCCAAGGGGGGGGGGGGACATGCATATACAGTATATAATTGGACTCATGGATCAACTGATTAGATTTGGGTGGTTGGAGGTTAAAGGTCAAGGTCTCAGTGGCCTCACAAAATGTGGTTTTAGCCTCTTGAACATAAAAGTCAAGTCTGCCTTTTGGGAATTTCTTCAGATTCTGACCAGTTGTCACTTGGACTCAAAACTCTATCAATAGTCTTCTTTATAAACAAATGACCTGGCCAAAAAATTACAACTCCCCCTGATAGTAGATCAATATATATAAGCAAAACAGAATCAAATTCTGTATAAAAAACATGAACAAGGGAGAAAAAAATGGTGAAAACCATGATGTGCAGAGTATTCAGGTCTAAATTTAGGAACAAAACAACTTTTGAGACTGTGAACAGTGATTTCCTCCAGTTGGTGGATTTCCTCAAGCTGTAGAGGAACAATAATAACACAGAGACTTAGGAAACAGACTTTGATATCAGTGCAGTATTCTGAATGGGACAAGAACATGAAGTCCATTGATGAAAAGATTTATATTGACAGATACAGTAAAGTTTAGCCTCTATAAAACCTATTAGTAACAACTGGACATGTTATCTCCCCTTGTCTGAATATATTTTGTGTCCATCGCTCTGTGTTCATTTGTCTCTTCATCTGTGTGTAGGTTTGCGTCCGAGGAGAACCCTGCGAGCGGTGCTGTGGACGGGTGAAGAGCAGGGTGGAGTTGGAGCTCAACAGTACTATAATTTACACAAGGTTCTGTCTACATTTGCTGTTCTATTAAAACAAACATGGTTCTTGCTTGTAAGAAATAATAATGGCCGCACCACATTGTGAAAGTAGAGACTGCAGCCGTGTGCTACTCCCAGTGAACTGCAGAGGTCTTGGATAGCTACCAGGTTTTTTCATGTGCAAAGGATCTAAACAGCAATCTACAATCTAACAGTTTCCTTCTTTTGAAATTCGGCTTCCTAACAAGCCTATGCACTCTCAACAACAGAGGTAGAGCTTAACTGCATATTTTTGTGCCATTTTTACTAATGTACCGTAATTCCCCAGTGGACTGTTATGTTCATTTCTGATGTATGATTAGAATTTAAATGACCTCATTCAGGTAATGCAGCTGTATGAGCGACTCCTGGTAGTTGGTTGAGTGTGTGTCTTGTTTGAAAGTACTAATGCTCATACTATTCAACTTGAATCACTATTCAGTGGTTCACTATTTCCATTGTCTGACGTCTGTATTGTTTTCATTTCTTCAAACACACCTGAGGTTTTGTGCCTTTCACTTCTTCTGCCTGCTCAGTCTTCTACTTCCTCTTCCCGTCCAGGTCAACATGTCCAACTTTGACCTCGTTATGGAGTCCGACTTGGGGACATTCACACCGCTGGGTCTGCAGTTTACTGGCAGCGACGCAGCACGAAAGGTGAAAACACGAACATACAGGCTTAAAAAGTCCTGCAGAGCCCAGATAGTTATAAATGCAGGAACTCGTGCTTAACCACAGAACTGCTGTGTCGTTTATGCCAATGTGGAACTGTAACGTCGGGTTATGGAACATGGTCACACTCATCCATCTAAATTATTATGATAATTCCCAAGAATTGGGAAACTTATCTTGAAATTTCAATATTTTATAGAAAAAGCATCAGAGGGGCGGTGAGACCCTGCACATGTGCTGTATATCCAACAATGAATTACATTGTAATCAAGCCTTTTCAAATATAACGTCACCATGACATCAGTTGTACTCTATGATGATGGCTTATAAGCTGTATATATCTAATTCACATTGGCTCCATCAGTGCACTATATGACGACATCTTTTCAACTGTATGATCGGGAATTATTTATTGATCTACAGTATTTAAGCTTCAGGTCGTGTCTATAATCCGATCGGATGCAGATATACCTTGAAGAATTCAAAGTTTGTTTTTATGCATGATATAATTTTGCGCCTTCTTTATGATGTCACTTATCATATGATACATGATGGGGAAACATTTTCGGATCGTTATCTTTAAAATGTGTATTTTAGACCATATCTTTGTTGACCCCGACCGATCAGCTCCACACACACACACACTGACTATGCAGGTGTGCAGGGTAAAAATGTTGAAGTATGTTGCTGCATCTTCATCAACAGGTGATGGAAGAAGTGGTGAAACTGTTGGCTCCCATTAATACGACCAAACTGGAGACGCACGGAGAAGGGACAGACATATCACCATGGATGCAGGCTGGAGTACCAGGTCAGTTCATTCTGTCAGCCTGACACTAGCAGCACATGACAGAAAAAATAGGAAATAGATTAATTTCTGCGCTTTTCTTTGGAAAGTTCTGCGTGTACAGATTCACTTCCTCTTTGGTGAAGCATGAACTCAATATACTTAATGGGGGCAGATTATCTCTTTATCTGAATTGAAATTTAGGAAGTTAAAATAGGATGTGACCAGGTGTACAAAGATTGTTTTAATTAATGTTGACAGAATGTACAATGTAAACACATACTTTTCATAGTATTCCTTTACACAAATCTAAACCAGAGTATTTGTGTTGGCTTTGCATTTGTTACTTTGAAAAAGAAAGAACATCTTTTTGTATATTGCTGGTTGGATACTTTAACCCGTAAAACACAAATCTAACAGAAAAATAACAAATCCGGCTTTATAGAGGCTGCTGACACTTTACTCCTCCAGCTTTCATACAGACCCAAACCGTCTCCTTTTCAGTGAGGCAACACTTTAAAAAGAAACACAGATTCCACTGCATCTAGTTTAAAATGTTAGATTAGCACAAAGGGCAAGATCTTGCATAAAGCTATAGCAATATGATTACATGTTGATATTGTTTTGCAGTCATGAAATGCAAGTATTGGAAAGAGATTAAAACCTCAACAGTGACACAAATACACTTAATATCTGACTGTCTGTGTCTTTGTGGCTTTGGTAGAAACTTAGTGGTTCAGAAGTCCTCTCTGCCTCTGTCTAGTTTTCGTAGAAGTGAAATTACATTTTAAACCATTTAAATTAGGAACTGAAAATAGGAAAAAAAAATAAGGACATAGCCAGTAAACAAAAAAGTTCCTCTAAAACTTTGACCAGGAGAAACGTGGAGAAGCATGTGCTATGTGGAGACTGAGGTGGTCTTCCATTATCAAATGTTTGACAATTCTAGTGGAGCTACTGCGAGTTTGGTGTCTTGATCAAAGGCAGTTAATAAGTAGTAGATTAGGGGCACAGTTTATACCATAATATCATTTCTGCATTTCAACAAAAAAATAGAAAATAACTATAAGATGCAGATAAATTATATTCTAATAATATTGTGTATTTCTGCCCTGTATCAATGCATTTATTTATTGAACTCAATACGTTCTTGTCTCAAACTGGCAATGAATCCTTCTCTCTAGTCCTCCTGGGTTTTGTTTACAGCAGAGACACCGGCGTCGGCTCTTTTCACCACAAACTTGTCTTCGTCTGTATCTTCTATGTGTGTCACTGCTTTTTTCATCCATCGATTTTTCATTTTTGCGTTTGTCACTCGCGCTGAATCTTGCAGAGGATCTCCTCCTGTGTTCTATCATTGGCCGCTCTAGAGTTTCTGCAGACATTACACGATATGCCAGGTGTAAAAAGTCAGCAGAAAGTCCAGAGGCTGTCACTCAGGCATTTGCGTACATCCTCAGGATTTCAGTGCACGTCTGAAAGCAGCTTTACAGACTTCTATTATTAACTCGTTTTAATGGAACAACAGAGGGTTTACTCGAAATGCAACTGAATTTTTGTGGGATTTTCTCCTTTCTGGTGATACAGGAATATTAGAACAGTTCCTGTTGCATCCAAATCACAACATTACAACCAAAAACACTTTGGTGTGCAGGCACCTTATAAGTGCACCAGCCACTTTTTATACAACCTGTTGGAGTGTTGCACCTTTATTACAGGGTGGGGTGTCTCTATAAAAGAATGGTATTTTACACCATAATTTATTTGTGTGTGTTGTTAATTGTTCCATTCACTAACTCTCCTCCATGGAGAGATTTTTGAAAGGATGAAAAAACACAACTGCTAGTCCATGACATTGATGAAGTCTACAGAGTCATGTGGAATCCTTTGGTTCATGAACCACCATGGACTAGCTGCATGCGGAGGGGCCTTCCTCTTCGTCATTAAGGCTGAGTCGAGGTCTCTTTGGCTTTCTCCTTACTTTTGTTGGTTGTAGGAACAATATGGGACTGTCCATGGGAAATGTGATGGTGCAAACACCACAGTCTTTGCTGGGCACTTTAGTCTGGGTACCTTCACAGACAAAGAAATCGGACATTCTGTCAGTTATATCAACATTAAAGAAATGAATGAGCCAACTTTATTTTAGAGAAAGCAAAAATTACTACATTGCATATGCATTTGTATATGCAGTTTGATCATTTGAAGGATTACAAACCTGTACTTCGGAAGCGCTTTTGTGCATTGGTTAACAGGTGTATGTTGCCTGTTCTTCTCACGAGGGGGTCCGTCTGGGATGCTACGTGTCTTACAGTATGTGAACTGTTGACCTTAACAACACAAGGAAGAGCAAAAACAATACTATTTATAACAAAAAATAGGAAACAAAGATTTTGTCTTTTTGATCGCTGTCAAATCAAAGAAAGAATAATGAACAGTATTTTAAACTTTTATTATCAGTTTTCACATTTAACTACAGGGATAATAAATAGGAACTCTTTATTATCCAATATAAATTGTGTTTTTCTCATGTCAGGTATAAACACAGAAGATAAAGCTTCTATAAAAATGCATCTTTTAAAAAACTCCTTTTAACTGTCTAGTGTCTACTTTTCTCTTTTTAGAGCATGCTACGTTTTTGTTACTTTTTGTTACTTATCACCGTCTATTCTTCCTCCATCATCTCACAGACCCTGGTCAGAATGATCATCAGAATTCACAGATTTGATTGGCTGAGTGGCATCACATGAGATTATTTACAACACATACAATTGGTCTGTGATTTTCCAGGGTAGCTAAAACACCAGTGTAGTGAAGACTAGAAAATATACTCTGGTTAAAATAGAGAAAACCCCCTTTAACAATTTTCAATAATTAATTTTTTCAGGTATGACACTGTCTGGGTCAAGATCTGGCCTGCAGCTCTGTTAGTGACCTCTGATACAGTCTATTGTTAAACACACACACACACACATTGGCGAATACACTAAATGGGTCGTTCCATGTCAAATCAATTTTGACCATTTTCATGCTGAATTGGTCACATGAGAAACCTATAGAGCTGAAATGTCAAGTGCTTAGATCATAATTAAAGGAAGACACAGGCTAACAAAGTTTGACATTTTTGGGAGCGACTGTGACTGACCATATCACCCTAAAAAATGTCAAATTTTAATTTATTGATCTCTAATATAAAACATAATGGAATTTTAAATGAAGATATTCATGTAAAATGTCGGATTCCAATAAAATAACATGTCTAGTTTATTTAGGGTAATGATAGAATTCAGCCACATGCTGCAGCGTACTGTCAAACTTTTCTCGTTGAGGGAAGAGCAATCATGACATTTCCACTTCCATGATATTGGAGATATGATCCCTGGTGAAATGCAGACTGCAAACACCGGATCTAGGCGAGAGATGCACAGAACCACCAGCGCCTAGTTTCTAGGTTCGCTGGAAAGCTGTGCAGGCCCGAGGTATTTTTAGCAGCCGGGGAAATAAAACTGTCCACGCATTCTGGACACAAGCTACAAAGAGGTGTGAGACTGTGTCCTGGTCCTGTCAGGCTCCCAGGCACCCGTCTCTCGGCCAATCAGGAATGTGCATGCTGCAGATTGGTGGTTTTCACGGAAGTGTGGGGTTTTCCTGGGTTCCGTGAAGGTAGCACATCTGCAACACCGTGTCCCCCGGATTGTTAGTTTGCAAACTAATAAATCCTGTTTCACAAAAATCCAGCAACTCAGTGTTCAGCTGAACCAACCCCGCAAGAGCTGTGTGTGTGAAACCCGCATGAGAGAGAGAGAGAGAGAGCTACGTACACACGGTGCGGGACGGAGCGTTGGTGCAGACAAAGACGACGAGTCCGTCACTTGAAACGTCATTTTCTACGCAATTATTAACAACACACATGCACTGAAGGCGTCAAAGCCTCATTTGGTCTGAATTCAACCCGCTCAGCTCGACTTTCCAGCCGATCACCGCAACTTCCACGACAAACTTAGCTACACAGTGAATTCCATACAGTCTGGCCACGTTAGCTGCGATGCTAACGTCAGGCTACCCAGCACAGTACACAGTGAAGCAGCCTAGCATGGCAACAACTTACAGCTTCCAATTTGACCACTGTGTTCCGCACTGTGGGCACCGATCCATTTCTCAGCTTCAGCTTTGAAGCATATCCGCTGTTGTACTGGCCCTCGTTGAGGAAGCAGTCTGGAGTGAAGTGGTTGGCACACACATACAACACTTTGACCGTGGCTGTGGGCACATCTCCAGCGAAAATAAAGTGAATCCACTGGGTCTTCAAATCCTCAGACACGGGGAGAATGTGGAGACTCTTGTGTTCCTCTGTGCAGCCGACAACGGAGCAGCAGGCGTGCTTTCCCCGTACTTTTGACATCTGTGTTTACAGGAGCAGGCTTCAGGCAGGAAATTAAAAATGGCCGCCCTGAGGTAGATTCACTCGTACTCAGTGGGCGGGAACAAACGCAAAGAGGGAGTGTCACACAACCTGGAGCCCCTTAGGATGTCAAATGGGGAAAGACATCTGACTGGCTCGTGGAGCAGACATTTTCTGAAAGCTGGATGGGCTTTCCTCATTTTAGGGGGGGCCTGTAGACACTTCGAGGACAGAGGCATATCTTAGAAAACCACCAGGAAGTGTATTTTGCATGATATGAGACTAAGGTTGGGATAGTTTAAGGAGCACTTTCATAGAGTTGTGATTTTTCAGCTTCCATCCTGTCTTCAGCTGTGTGTCCTAGCAGTACAATACAACAACTAACAAACCCTATTGACCTTATACTTCACAATATCATCATCAGAGCTCGAAAAAATATAAATGTTTCAAACATTCTAAATTCAGCAGCGGCACCTGGTCCACACAGTGAACTTACCACTTCACCCACAAGCCCGCTCCTGCCCGCTCTGTCCCCTGGATACAATGTTGGAACAGCATCAGCCTTCAGTAGGAGTTTTTTGGCAAAGCCCATATTCATTTGTGTCAAATTTTCAAAGCAGTTGTCTGAAAAATGAAGACTGCACACACGCGTTTTCTCAGATATTTTGGCAGGGACACCGCGATGTCTCCAGATGAACTGGATCCACTTCTCCCGTAATTCCGGCTGTTTCGGTAAAACATGGAGACTCACAGAGTCAGACTTTGTGCTGTTGCACCGAAAAACAAAACATATATCAGTCATTACGTCTGAATAAAGAGCAAGACAACAACACAGAGGGTAGTGATCTCCTCCTGTTAGCTTCTAGCTAAGCTGAACCAGCGTTTCCTCCTCTGTGACAAGACTGAGCCACACCCCTACTCTGACATGATTGGTTTCTCAGGTTGGTGACGAAACAAACCCTGGATGCACACACTGGCATCTATTTACCGCAGTGCTCAGGGGGAAACGCTGCTTGGATCAAAATGCGTTTACACTTGAAGTCTACCTGCGGGTGCTTTGCAGTCCCCTCGTCTGGGGCTTTGCCGCGGACCGTCGGTACCGCTCCCTCCTTGAGGAACAGCTTTCCTGCCAGGCCCGCGTTGTACTGTCCCAGGTTGGAGAAGCTGTCGGCCGCAAAGTGGTTTGAACACACCAGCAGATTCTTCGACGGGTGGATACGCGGCGCGTAGCCTCGATAGATGAACCGTATCCACTTGGCTCTTGTGTCCTCTGAGGCCGGTGGTCGGTGTAAAGACGAGTGCTCCTCTGTGCAGTCGATAACCGAGCATCGGGCGTGTTTGGCTCGCTTCGACATGGTCCTGAAGAAGGCTCTGGGTGTGTGGGTGTGTAGTCTGAGAGTTGGATACTTGAATTCACCGGTTACATAAGCATTTGTAATAAATCCACGCCAGAGCCCCACAAAGCAATCAGATCGTCTGCGGGTTTAATTTTTCCATAGAAACAAGTTTCCCCCCGAGCTTATTTTGCTGGTACACCATGGCTGGATCCGGTGTCGCCTTGCTTCAGTTCCACTCAAAAGGACTGTGATTGGTTTAGAAATATAAACAAGCCTAACAACAACAGATCATTTCTTCCATGAATATTATTCATATATAATTTAGTGGCAGGTATCAGATGATATTATTTTCATACAAACATTTGATAAAACATGACATTTAGTTAGAAAAACAAAATACAAACTCAGATTTCTGAATAGAATTAAAGGATGTTTGTCTTCTGCTGACAGTAAAACATTAAAACCCGGTGCATCACAGTGCATCACGCTTTATCACAAATGTTATCACACATGATCCAGTAACTACATCACCTTAGATACCACATCAATGTTCGCAGATATGGGTTCAGATATTATGCACCTTTTAAATGAAATGAGTTTCAATCTGTTCTACAGTGTCACATTCGCCCATTATGATTTTAAATCTTTGTTATCTGCTATTAAGTTCTTGTTCTGTTGCTTTCATTTAGTAACTCCTTGTTGTGTTGTATTTATTTATTTATTGTGAAGACCTGCAGGACTCTTAAAAACAAGACTGTCAGATTAGATACAGATTAAATATTAGAACCCCCCCAAACACATCTTCTGATGGTTGAGTGCTGATAACATAACATGAAAATATAAAACATGAACACTTTGCACCTGTTCAGAATTGTATTTTTTATTAAGTTTAAGGAACATCACTTTTTATGGTCTAAAAGATACACTTAAAATACAAAGTTCAACTCAAGTAAAAACTAAGGGAATAAAGTTCAGGAACCAGAACTTACACTATGAAATATTTAGAATATATAAAACTCAGCAGTTTCCACCATGAGCAAACCAGCAAGAACTGTCCTGCATACCCTGCAATCACCTGTTTTATTAAGTGATTTATATTTATTTTTCTTGCTTTATTATTACTCTGGATTACTGCTAGTCCACAACAGTGAGAGTCCTCAGAGTCATGTTGAATCATTTGGTTCAGTAACCACCATGGATGAGCTGCATTCAGAGGGGCCTTCCTCTTCGTCATCAAGGCTGAGTCAAGGTCTCTTTGATGGTCTCCTTACCTTTGTTGCTTGTAGAAACAATGTTGGACTGTCCATGGGAAATGTGATGGTGCAAACCCCACTATCTTTGCTGGGCACTTTAGTCTGGTTACCTTCACACATATAAATCAGTGATCAGTTATATAGACTGTAGTGAAATAAAGGAGCAAATTTGATGTTAAACTAAGTGAAAGTTACTTGTAGGACAACACACCTGAACTTCGGAAGCTATTCTGTAGGGTTCTGATGGACAGCTGTGTGCTGACTGTTCTTTTCAAGTACTTTGTACTTTGCAAGTCAGTCTGGGTCTCCCAAAATATGTTTTGTTTCTGTCAAAACTGTTCATCCAATACAACAACAAAGCAACTAGTGGATGAAAATTATTGACTTCTTGTATTTGTCACAATCGTATGTACAGGAAGATTAAACCAGATGCAGTGATGTTGCTTTTTTCAGATGTGAATTTTAATGACCAGCTGACTCTTACACATGTAACGTTGAGTGTAACATTTTTTATTTCATCCATCTTTCTATGTCTCATGCAGGTGCTAGCCTCCATGTGGCAGACAGTCGATACTTCTGGTTCCACCACAGCGAGGGCGATACCATGACCGTTCAGGACCCTCAAGAAATGAACCTCTGCTCTGCATTGTGGGCTGTTGTTGCCTATGTAGTGGCAGACCTGCAGGATATGCTGCAGAGGTAACAAGTTAGCACACATGAGTCTTAGCCTGCAGTGGACAGGCTGATCACTGTGATTGTACACCACATGTGGCTATCAGTTTGTGTGTGAAGAGAGACAGAGACAATCAGACACACACACGCTCTTCCAGACAGAAGAGAAGTGCTTCCCCCAGATTAAGATGCAACACAGTGTTTTAACTTCATTGCTGCAGAAGAAGTGACGCCCCATTTACCCAGGAACAAAAATATGATTTCAGCAGGTTTTTTTCAAAGTCTACGTGGGAGTGATTAGAAAACGGCAGAGGAGCAGATTCACGCCTCTGCAAGGTAGACTATCAAACAATCTTCACTGTAGCCAAAGCCGTTACATTGAGGTCTTGATACTTTACTTTAAAAAAGAGGGTCGCTCTATCTGAGCCAGTGGCACCAGACTTCTGTGTAAATAATTTGAGTTAGAATAATGATGGTGATAATTTGGCATCACCAAGGGTGTAATTCGTTTTTGAGGCTATTAGTAGTGTGCATGCTAACGTTTTGAGCTTCATCATCATGAAATGCCACATTTAAAAGATTTAATAAAATTGTAGCTTATCTGTTAAGTGTATTCTTGTTTGTTTTAATTCACGCATGTGGGGGAGTTTTTGACAATGGATCAGTAGCTTTCATTGTATAGCTTTAGGCTGTGTATAATTTGGATTATTGTAAAGATGAAGGTCATAACTTGTGATCTTAACTACATATCGTTTTAATATAAATGAACAGTTTCAACATGAGACAAACATAAATATTTGCAACACTTCCTGTAGGATACTCTTTTCTAAAGAAAAGCACCCCGTTTCTGAGTCCATTTATTTGTTTTCAAAAGAGTTTTATTGTGAAATATCTGTGGAGTGCACAGGACTACTTTATAAAAGGTTGTACAGGAACTTCAGAAAGACTGTAGTTATATTAAAAGGTACCATAAAGAGGTGATGGGCAGTAATCTCTCTCTCTCACACATCTTTGGTCATTTTCATTATGAAATCCTGAGACGCGTCACGTGGACAACCTCGACACGCAGCCGCTCCGCCCCGGAAGTCACTCATGAAGTACCGATAGACATTTCGTAACATATCGCGATGCTTGGGGATGACAACAACGTGACTGTACCATAGACTGTACATGGACTGTACACAACGTCACGGTGTGGTTTCAATAGTTCACAACATGATCAGAGCTGCTCCTGTGCCAGCTTTGCTAACACTTAGCGACGTGTTAGCATAGCCAATCCACAACAAGAGCAAAGAGTGCATCCACTTAAGCTTCGTTCTTTGTGAATTCGTTTACTCACAGGCTGCTTCAAGTCATTACGGATAGTTAAAGCTCATTGTATTTTACACAATATGGGCCCTTAAGGGTCCAGTGTGTCAGATTTAGGTGAAAGGGAACTATTGGCAGAAACTGAATGTAGAATAATCCTCATGATGTTTTCACTAGTTCGTTTCATCTGAATTGTATGAATTGGAGTTTTCTTTACCACAGAAAATACCCTTTATATTAAAAATCTTTATATTTTCATCGTGGGGTCCCTCTCTACAGAGGCCGCCATGTTTTTCACTATAGTGCAGACTGGACAAACTAAACACCTTTTGAGTTTTTATGACAATTAAAGGTTACCACAGGTTCTTTTGTCATGTTTGGAAGGAGAGGGTGAGGTGAGGGGTGTTCAGCTGCAACATGCAACTTCAACACTAGATATCACTAAATTCTACACACTGTACCTTTAAGTCTTACCCTTCCAGCCTCTGTTGTGCTTATCTGAGTCATGGCAAATTTCTTTTCCCCCTTATGTCCATTTTTATGTAATCTGTAAAATGTTACTCCAAGAAATCATTGCAATCTTTTGACGTCATGAAGAAAGTGTGACACATTGTCTGACGTAGTTACTTGCCGTGCTGTAATGCTGTAATGCCTTGAGTTTTGCTGATCGTGTAGTTTCTATGAGTGAAGAAACAGGAAGATGAGGATAAAGGAGATGTGGAGGAGGAAAGGGGAATGAAGCGGCAGCAATAGTCATGATGGATGAAGTAATGATTAGTTTAAAAAAGGGAGGGATCCTACAGAGGTTAAAAGGAAGAAAGTGGAATTCATCATTTTTGAGGCACCACACAGACATAGAAGATATAACACAGACACACACACACACACACACACACACACACACACACACACACACACAAACAAACACACTCAGAGCTGGGTTTGCTCTATCCCTGGAGCTGATAAGTCAGTCCTCCCTTTGGGTGATGTCAGGGTGAGTCTCCCAGCCTGCACAGATAAAGTCATTTTGAAAACACAGATGCATGTATGTGTGTGTCTGTGTTGAAACAAAGCTGTGTTGCTTTTAGTGTCTGCTCAGCTGTGTGTCACGCCACTAACACTGATTCACAGGCAGACAGTTATTTTAGTGAGTCACACACACACTTCCCTCTCACCTATAGAAAACTATATACACACAGTAACATCACAGAGACAGTGTCTGACAGGACTGTTTGAAATAACACTTGAAATTAGGGCTGGTTGATACGGTCAAAAATTATATACAGATAAAAATGTTCATGTCAGTCGGCATCAATGATCACGTTATTTATTAATGTTATTATATTATTTATTTAGGTTTAAAGATTTAGGTTTTGCGTAGTATTTTGATTGACAGTATACACTTTTTTAAATGTTGTAGCAGCTGTAATGAAGCCATAAACTATAAAGCTGGGGGGATTTTAGTCATTAACCTGTATCTGAGCTGACCACATACTGTGTGTTTGTCTTAATTCAAATGTTAGTCTTGATACATTTTTGCGTTTTCTTAAAATACTGTTTTCAAAATAGCTGCTGATAAACCTGCTGTCGATTAATGAATCAGTCAACCATCTAATTGTTTTTGCTCTATGTAATTTGAGACTGATTAATGCAGTAAAGGACACACAGCTGGTAATGTCAGCTAGTAGTATCTGTACTTATGAGAGGTTACATTTTCAACACACGACTCCACCTTGAGGACAAACTCCAGCATAACAGCAGTGTAATTTATGCTGGAAATGAAAAAGATAATAGTATAATTTGTCCATCTCAAATTAGTTAAAGATGATATGAGACGGATACAATAACCTATATTACAATTTTAGGAAAACACATTTTATTGTCAGCATACAAAAGTTTTTTACAGGCAAAATAAAAAACAAAATCAAGTTTGATTTTAGTGACAAAAACATTTTAATATTTGAACTTTAATAGGATAGTTGTAATAACTCTTTGAGATAGTTGATTGATAAATATCTACAATGCTAATGGCATTTTTAGGGACTAGTATGAGTATAATACCACATTTATTTTCAAATGTGACACGTTCATGTGGCCACAGGTCTTCTGGAGTTGAACACCTTGATCCCGTTTTGCATTGAGGACCGAGCGTATTTGGTCAGGAGGGCTCCGACGGTCTGTTTCTCTCCACACAGGTCTCTGGACAAGGAGATGTGAAGCATTACATATAAATATATAAACCAGGCCACTGAGGTCATTTACACGTTATTATTTTGCTTAAATAGAAGTTAACATCATTCCTCAGTGGGATAACACCTACTGTATGTATGGTGTGATGTCGTCTTCTGTCCATTTCTCTCGGAGTGTGAAGAGCTGGTTGAAGCGCTCCAGTGTGTCTTCTGGGAGATCCTCCACCCGCAGCAGGCAGATGGTCTGTGGACGGGATGTGCGGTCTACCAGGGCAACACTCTGGAAGATTTACAAAGCCATCAGCACAGCATTTTAGACTCCTAGAAGCCATAGCACTCCACAGTTTTTTAGCTGCAAGGTGTATTGGCTTTATATGTATTCTGAAGTCAACTTATTTAAATCTTATAAAACATGCAGACTGCCAGGTGCCATGTCTTTTGAAACAAAAGACAACGTGAAGCTCTTTGAGAGGGGAGATGTAATTCAGATAGATAATCTCAATCGTGCAAGATGAAGCAATTCTTTCTCCTTATTCAAAGTATTGAGATTTTCTCTTCTCTTTCAAAAAGTCTGAGGTTGGGCACAAAAATGTGTAGAAAAATATGTATATGTTAAACAAAGAAGAGAGAAATCTTCACCCACCCTTCTCTGCTCAGATATCAGTACACAGTTTAAGCGAGGTGCAGGCTAACCTTCAGCTGCTCTAGTCTTGTGCTCATGCCCTCTGGGACGCTCTGCTGCCAGACCTCCTGAAACTCCCTCAGGTTGAACTTGACAGCGTTCTGCAGCAGCATTAGTGCGATGCCCCGACAGACTTTATCCTCATGCAATGCATAAAATACTTTGTCTGTGCAGGGAAAACACAGGAAACACACAGAATTCAGTAGTGTACTTCCAGACTGTGTCCACATTCTTCTCACTAATGAAACTTATGATCTGTCAATTGAATCGCCATAGATTTTTATTTTACCAGTTTCAAGATAGCGTTTCCCATAGCAGTTCAAGCAATGCTCGATCATTTCTCTGTGGGAAAAAAAAGAGAATATTATTTATTATAACTAAAAATCTAATTTACTCAATCAACATAATGATCCCAGGCCTTAACGTACTTGGGCTCCAGAGGGGCTAACTCTTCCAGACTTGTTTGAAGGGGAACCTTGTTGAGGGGCCACGACTCAGAATCCACCAGCTGAGTCACGTGACCGAGCAGCTTCATCTCATAATCAAAGTCTAGAATGCACCAGTAACCTGGAAGAAAAACTCTGATATGAACACACATCTGGTAGGTTTAACAATGCATACACGTGTTTATGTAAATTATTAACATAAGTCACTGTTTACCATCGATCTGACAGGCATGGATGGTCTCTAAATGGGTCTTTATCTCCTCTTCACTGGCCTGGATCCTCTCCAACAGATCCTGCATTGTGTACTGACAACAGAGGAACACAACGGGAAACTCTTACTAAGAAACACAAAAACATTTGATGGCAACAACAGTCTTCATAGACAGCTTAACTCAAATGTGTAGTTTAAGGTTAAAGCAATTCATTTTCATTGATCAACTGTTTCTTTACAAGCTAAATTTTCTTGAACTTCGCAGATAGCCTGCATAATTAATTCCAACATGAGTCCTACTGAGAGAGACATGTCCTATACAACTCAGTTCTACAGGTTATTATGTATTAAGAAGATGTTTTACCCTGTTCTCTGTGTTCTCCACCTGCCCCCCTAAAGCAGGTCCTTCATATGGATTCTCCATTAAAAGCTTTGTCAGTTTCTTCACTTTAGGACGCCGCTTCCTCAGTTCCCAGTAGCTGTTACAAAATCCCCAGATCTACAACAGAAGTAGGAAACGTCAGGGTCATAAATCCAACCAAACATTATGCGAACATGTATGTTTACATGGGTGCTGCACATGCATGATTTGATTTCCATACCTGGGTGTGCACCAATTGAGAGCTTTCCTGGCTGTTAGTGAGTTGGTCCGGCGTTTTGCATCCTGGCACAAACAGCAGCAAGTTGGAGGTGTCGGCTATTTTAAGATCGTAGGTTGTGTCCCCACTGCAGAGCACAGCCTGCTCATCTTTATCCCCCCGAATCACCAGACTGGAAAAAGGAGAAAATGAAATGACATGGACTGTGGACTTTAGTCTTTCCAATGACGCAAAGAGTTTTAGAGTACATTCAACAATTCTCACACACATACAGCAACCCAACGTTTTTCGATCACACACTATTCAGGAGCAATTTTGCGGTTCAGTATGTTGCCCAAGATATCAGTTGAAGATAGAAGGAGCCAGGGATCAGACCACTAACATTCTAGTTAGTGGATGACCTAAAAACAATGAAATAATTTAAACAAGAATAAAAGGTTAACAGTTAAAACATCATGTGCTCTTATCAGCTTTTGTATCGATGAACAGTTCTGCAAACCAGATATTTGATGTTAGTTTAACTGCCTCCAAGA